ACCCCCAAACAAAAAAAAAAAAAAAAAAAAAAAAAGGATGTAGGGCTAGACATTAACAGTGTTTTTAGACATGCAGAGAAAAAAAAGAGTTATTGAAGATACTGCCTTTTTTTTTTGTACTGGGGATTGAACTTGAGTCCTTGCACTTGCAAGGCAGGCCACCGAACCACTGAGAAGATACTGCTTTTTAAACAAGGCAAGAAATAACCAAACATTTGAAGGAAGACCCATATTTGGGGGGGGGTTCCAGATTTCGAACTTGGATCCTTGTGCTTGCAAGGCAGGTGGTGGGACCACTGAGCTAAAGCCCAGGCCCTGGAAGGCCCATCTTTACAGAATCCTAGCTAATAAATGCAGGAAAGTCAGAATAGAAAATCCCTAATGAAAGTTGGGGATATAGCTCAGTGATAGAATACTTGCCTAACACACACAAGACCCTATGTTCTCAATGTCTGGTACCGTAAGGCAAGGTGACGGGGAGATGACATGGGACACATAATGGCGGAGAAAGAAAATTCCTGATGAATTTTCTATTTTCGAATACAATCACGGACCTAGGCAATATTCATCAATGAATATCACAAGTATAAATTAAAGGTTTCTTTCTTTCTTTTCAGTTCAAGTTCCTTGACTACTGCGCATCAGAATGATCTGGCTGATATCACCTGAATAACTCTACTGATGAGACTTATTACAAAAACAGCAATTATTACAAGCCTCCTGACGTGCGGCAATAGTAAATCCAGTGTACTGCCTGTGGCAGTGGTGGCACAATTAAGGTCCGTGTGCTGCAGCGGGCATGCAGAGTCCTCTCCATCAGCACATGAGCCAAGTCACCCCAGCAGCTACGCATCACAAAGGAGTTGTATTTTCTAAACTAAAACCTCAGTATTGAGGTTTAACTGCAGTGTTGACACTTTACAAGAAGAAAGTTTTGGTTTTGGGTTGCAGTACTGGGCTCTCGGTCTCTAAAAGGTTCAGCATCACTCGTTCATGGAGTATCTTTACTAAAACACGTGCGGGCTGGAGCCTAGCTTGGTGGAAGGGCGCTTGGCCATCATGTAGAAGGCCCTGGTTCTCACTACAGAAAAGAGAAACACACACACACACACAAACCAGCTGTACTTGAACCTCATCAATCCTCAAGATGTAACTATCAGTATAAAGAAAATGAGACAGAAAAGACAACAAATTAATTAACATACGGAAGTAATGAGTCCAATCTAGAATAAGACATTCTAAATCCAGGTTCCCATCAATAGCATGTGCTCCCCCCACCAGAAAAAAGTGGAGCGGGGAAGATACTTACAGGACCTGTCAATGAAATGTTACATGTATATACCTCGCTTGGGTCGTGTCTGAAATAACTCCAACTGGTTTTTTTTTTTGGGGGGGTAACAGGGATCAAACTTGAGACCTTGCACTTGTGAGGCAGGCAGCGGAACCACTGAGCTAAATCCCTGGCCCATAAATCCAACTATTTAAAAAAATAAAAATGCGTGTTTGAGATGATAGGGAAAATGTGATGACAAACTAAGTATGAAAGAACATAAAAGATAAATGTTGCATTTCTGTTTAACCTTATTCTCCTTTTTAGGAATATGAGTGCATCTTTCATTTACATCAGAGTGCCTGTTCATACTGTATTTAAGTACTATGTGATAAAAACAACATTGACATTGGCTATTTTAGGTTTTCTCTTCAAACGATCTATCTGAATAAATGCTATGCACTTATATTTGCAAAAAAAAAAAAAAAAAACCTACAATAAGCCAGTGTTCACACAGTACTTTCCCCTAAGAACTTTAAATACTTTTATAATTCTCAGTGTTCTTAGTTTAGGTAATAATAAACTTTTTTAGGGGGAGGGTACTGGGGGTCAAACTCAAGACCTTATGCTTGCTAAGCAGGCACAATGCCTCTTAGATACATCCTGGCCCCAAATAATACTTTTAAGATGAAAGGCTTCAACCTAATTTTAAGGAAAGCTATGAAATTGTCTCTTTTATAACATAAATGCCTTCGATTTGATCTAAAAATCCAGTACGAATGTTCTTTCTTATATATTAAACATCTCAAATGCGTAACACATCTAAATGTAATCTTATTTTTTCAATTTTTTATTTGGTACCAGGGATCGAAGTCAGGACCTCGCCCTTGCAAGGCAGGTGGCAGCACCACAGAGCTAAATCCCCAACCCATGTAATTTTATTTTCACAGTCAAATACTAATCATCCCATAGTATGACACATTGCCTTTTTTTGTTTAGTACCGGGGATCAAACTCGGGACCTTGCACTTGTGAGGCAGGCGGTGGAACTACTGAGCTAAATCCCTGACCCAGTTTTTTGTTTTTTGAGATAGGATCTCAATATATAGTTCAGGCTGGCCGTGAACTATGTGGCCCAGGCTGGCCTCAAATTCATGGCAACCCCCCTGCCTCAGCATCCCAAGTGCTGGAATTATAGGCATGTGCCACTGTGCCCAAAAATATATCACTGTTAAAGTGTGAAGTGCACTGAATATACCAAGAAAGACACATACTCGTCTTAAACCAAGATAGTTTAGCTCGTCTCACCACTAGGTAATAACACACATACCACTTAACTAAATCATAAAGGTTCCTTTTAACAGTTCTACCCTTCAAACTTTATCTAGAACTCCACCTACCTTTTTGCTCTTTGGAAAGCTGCTCAGCTTGGTCCCAAATTTCAGTGGCATAGAGAAAGTTGGATGTAACCTGAACATAGCTGGCTGCCATCTGGTGGATTTTCTGTGGAATGGTCACTGAAGAACCACTCGCCGAACTACTGCCCCCAGAAGAGTAATTTCCCGAATTGCCTGGTGACAGCTTTGGAGACACAGGAGAAGGCATCCCAACAGCTTTGCTACACACCAGAGAAAACAGGAAGCTAGTCAGACAGATGCACAGTGTGAGGTCAGTGTAGCGCTGGCTCCAATGTGAGGACTCTTTCAGGCTATAAAAGTTCCCAGAGAAGCACAATTTCTCCTACGTACGGGGTGCTCTAGTTCATGAACTCAATTCTTTCCACGCTTCTGACCACAAACTGAACTGGAGGAGAACTACAATAAATTCTGCCACAAAAATAAGTTTTGTTAACACTAAACCTAACCATTGAATTTGATTCAGTTCTTGTCCAATTTCTTGACCAAAATCATGGAAAAAATTAAGTTCGTGAACTGAGGTACCATTGTACCAAAGGTCGTGGATTACGCTACATACATTAATTTTGTTTGTTTGTTTGTTTGTTTTTGTTGCTTGAGACAGGTTCTCACTCTGTAGCTGAGACTGACGTGGAACTCACTATGTAGCCCAGGCTGGTCTCAAACTCACAGTGATCCTCCTGCCTCAGCCTCCCAAGTGCTGGGATGACGGGCATGTGTCACCACGCCTGGCTATAGATATTTTGTTTTAATGAACAACAACAGAAAGAGGAAGGAGAGATGGCTGAAGAAGTCTTAATACCATGTTAGTAGTAGCTCAAACCTTCGAAGCTCTCTCCCCAGTCTAGCTCAATATTCCCCACCATGTGGGCATGTAATTAACCTATTTTTCAGATCATTTTGTAAAAGGGTGGACGGAATTCACAACCCCCAAAATTGGGGTAGTAGGTGAGAACACCTTTTCTTGAGCTGCATAATTTCTAGCACTTTCCTGATTCAACAAAATTCTTCAGTGAACTAAGAGGTACAGCCCTCACCCAAATCAGCTGCAATCACCTCAAGCTTCCTGACAATCAAGTATTTCTGAACAAGTTTTAAAATCTTTCAGTTCATTTTGGTAGTATTAAAATTTGTGAAACTGCCCAAATTATGACAACAAACCAAACAAAAGCTGGGGAAGAAATCTATTTGTTTGTATTTTTAACTGTACTTTTAGTATTACAAATTTAGTCAGGAAAATTTAAAAAAGGGCAAAGACTGAAAGTCAATTCATATAAACATAACAGAAACATAAAAAAAAAAAAAAAAAAAAAAAAAAAAAAAAAAAAAAAAAAAGGTTTCATAGGTTCTGCCTCTTTTTGAGTGTGGCTGGGATTAGTGTGATGCATGTGAGGAAAGAGGAAAAGCTACAATCATGCCACCTAATTCTGGCAATGCCAAGACTTAAACAAAGTTAAGGCCACTGTTAAAAAAAAAAAAAGTTAAGCCCACTGTAATAAATCCAAGTAACTGCAAAAATTAAACGGTGAGAAGGGCTCAAGTGTTGTTAAAAATTCAAGTATCTGAGGGAGAGAGAGAGCTCAGTGGTGCTGCTGCCTGCCTTGTAAGTGCAATGTCCCGAATTCAAATCCTGGTACCAAAGCAAAACAAATAAAAAACACATAAAAAATTCAAGTATTTGCAGGTAAAATGCCTCATCTCTAATCAGTCTATGACCATATTAATTTACATTTTAAATTCACAAATCAGAAAAAAGTAACTAAAATTTCTTTGGGACGGGTGTAGCTCAGTGGTAGAACATGTGCTTAGTGTGCACAAAGCCCTGCCTGGGTTGGATTCCCAGCATCAATTAATGAAGAAGGAATGAATACAGTACTTTACTCAACATTATTTTAATTTGTAAAACTAGCTGCCCTTTTTCCGGTTTTGGGAAGAGGTGATCTCTAGCCATTCCATTTCCATATCATATATAAGTAAACCTGCTCCAAACGATTATTGTGTGAATGTAGCACTGGAGTTTTAACTCAGGGCCTTCACACTCAACTACATTTCCAGCTCTTTTTAAATTTTCAGGTAAAGGGTCTCAACTAACTAGCCCACTTTCAGTTCAAACTTGCAATCCTCCTGCCTCGGCCTCTAAAAGTGCTTAGCTTAAGGTATGTGCTACCACACTTGCTGCAAAGAATACTTCATGGAATAAAATTTGACCTACCTTCCTAAGCCAGGGGATGGTGCTTGAGAATTATTGTAAGAATTCTGTAGAAAAAAATGGAATACACTTAATAAACAAAGAACCAAAGAACACCATTGCATATAAAGTTCTAAATAAATCTAAAAGCACTGGGCCAGAGCTCATCTTATGAAGCTGCACCAACTGAATACACTAAAATGCGTGCGTGTGTGTGTGCGCGCGTGTGCGTGTGTATGCACAACAGAAAGATGCTACTCAGTAAGAGATGGGATGTCCTACAAGACGGCATGAAGAAGCAAGGGAATAATGTGTAACACTCAGACAAAAGGATGGGGAAGCGACATAGGGAGATGAGTCACACTCTGTGTGAAGAGGAGGCAGAAAGAAGGACGTATGTGACCCATACAGTCTGCCTAAAGCAGAGGTCTAAAAAAGGAGTAAGAAAGACAGAAACCTTAAAGATCTTATAGGCTTGGGTAAGCAGTACAGACCTAAACATAAGGACAACAGTGAACTAGTGGGGGCTCCAAGTCATAACCAGAGCAGACTTTCAGGAGCATTTATGTGGTGCTGACCTGAAAAAAGCTGGAAAATGTGTTAGAAAACTAAAATAACAGTTTAAAGAAGCATGGTACTGGAAATAAAGATCACTTCAGAGATAAATATGGCTGCTGCATACAACTACATAAATTCTACAATCAGATATACATACGTTTTGAAACTTTACCCCAAAACCTCAGACATATTTGAAAGTTCTGAAACAGTAGCTCCTGCCCTCATCTGTCATGCCTATATATGGGAGAACTTCCAGAGTAGGAATGGGAGACTTCAAAAGTTTTATCTCCCGGGAAATAGATCCTTCTCTTTTGCGTACTTACCTTCAGGTGCTCTGTCAATGTCTTTGAGTACTTCAGAGCATTTTCCTTCTTCAGTTTGAATAGCCTCAGGTACAGCAAAGACTGGCATCTCAGGCTAGCCAATGGAAAAGGCAACTTATTTACCAGGACAGAAGACTCTGGCCACAAATGCACAGACAACCTTTGCACTGTGCAAGACTGGAGAACTGGCTCTTGCAAGATTGTAAGACTGAAATGTGAGCAGACCTCAGCAATGTCACTAACACTAAGCCTTAGACATAACCAGAAGGTGTGTTCTCATGGTAGTATACCGCACAGCCAAGGGACATGGTTAAAACCCAAGGGTTAGCCTCCCATTAGTTGCTGACATTTAGAAACCAAACCACCATCCACTGGACACCAATAAATAGATCACAGTAACATATTAAAAAGCTGCTAAGGGATAGAGTTTCCAGACCAAACTATAAATAATCCAAAAATTAAGAAACAAAATAATGAACATTATAACTCTGATGGAACACACAAACACAGTTTGTTGTTCTTTCCAACTACAGACAGGTCTGCCTATCTTTACTCTTCTAACATAGACTGTTCTTTCAAAATACTTAACCTATATACTTACATGGTTATTTAATTTGTCTCCTCAAACTAGACTATAAACACCATGATGAATAGGACCGTCAGATTAATTCACAGATCCATTCCCAGTGTTCAGTACACACACAGGTAAACTAAAATAAGTGAAATGATATTTCCCTGGCTAGGGACAAAGCAAACAAGTCACATCTTTTCCTCCTAAGAAAAGGAGATATACGTGAATGGAGAGAGAGGGTACCAAAAGAAGAGCTCGCACAGCGATCTCTTTAATTGAATGAAGAGTTCCGGTATTAGTCCCCACAGCAGGGCTTTCATCAAAACATCAATGGATCAGAGATAGACTGACAACAATTTTAATCTTTCAGTAGGAATTTCAAGACATTTCCTGCTTGATGCTTTAACAGAACAGGTTGGCGACAGGATTACAGAAGGTCGATGCATGAGCTACTCTCAGAGCATACACAGCACAATTTATCAAGGAACCGCCTGTCACTGAAGACAGCCCAGAATCCACACTCACCAAAGCACTGTCAGTCTTTTATCTGCGGCTGTAGCATCTGGTGCCAAGTAATTTTTTAGCTTCATAGTGTATCTGTGAATTAAGATAAATATGTGATAAGCAGAATACTTGAGAATTATTTTAACAATTCTGCAGACAAAATAGAATACGCTTAATAAACAAGGAACCAAAGAACACCACTGCATATAAAGTAACAAATATATCTAAAAGCACTGGGCCGGAGCTCATCTTAAGAGGCTCCCTTTGATCTTATGACGTCCTTTGTGCTCAAACATTTGGATCAAACCTAAATAAAACACCCACTAAGACATCTAGGTGTCCTTTTCCCAGGAAAAAGGATTAAGTATCCTCTTCGGTTTATGTGTTTGCTTATATCAATCCCTTTCAAAGGGACCCGAGAAACGCCACTGCTGACAAGGTAGCGAAGTTTTCCACTCACTTGATGAGCTCCACCGTGTCTGAATACATAGGGAAGGGGGATTTGGACTCCTGAGCGTTCTTCTCCAGTGCATTCCCACACTCAATAAAGGACACCACAGCATCAAGGTAGTACACCGCTTTCTCAAACCTGTCAGACTACAGAGAGAGCAGCAGGCATGAAGAGCAGCCACGGCAAGGTCAAACAGCAAAGGGGATTTAAGCTAAGCTGATTAACCACGTAAGTGCAAGAGCATGTACATACCAAAGCGTCTGCATTGTGCTTCAGCTTTTTTGCTTCTTGTAAATAATGGTCTGCTGAGTAATTTCTGCAATGTAAATTTTCATTGTAAATAAAATAGAAAAATATTTTAAGATAACACTAGTTCATTTCAGTTTCAAGTAATACTGTTTTCATATTCTCAAGTAAAGAAAACAAACATCATTAAACATTCATTTCATTTTTTTTGATTAAATGTTTTTAACAGGTTAATAATTTACACCCATGGCAAATGTTTTATTCAGGAAAACAGAAACCAAGCTCCCTAAAGCTCCCTAATATGGTTGACTGTGTGTATATACATATTTATTTTTTGCAGTTCTGGGAATTGAATCCAGGCCCTCCTACTGAACTGCACCCTCAGCTTTTTTCTATATATGATATAATATCTTACGTATATATGGTATTATAATATATATATTATTTTGAGATAGGGTCTCTCTAAGCCCACACTGGGCTTGAACTTAGGATCCTGTTAACTCAGTCTCCCGAGTAGTTGGGATTAAAGGCACGGACCACCATATCTGGCTCAAGCTCCCTAGTATTAACTACTAACTCTCTTGAGTTGTTTTAAAGATTAAAAGTAAATAAAAACTAAGCATGCTGGGACACCCTGTAATCCCAGCACTCAGAAGGCTAAGGTGAAAGGACTGACAATTTAAGGCTAGCCTGGGCTACACAGCAGGTTCAAAATGAGCCTGGACTACAGTCAGACACTATCTAAAAAACAAGGACAAAGTAAAACCTAGATAGGAGAATTTTTCAACAAAAAAATTCAGCAAGCAACAACTCTACTTTTCTTTAGCCAAGAAAATACTTATTTAAACAGCATTACAGTGGTTACAGTGGTGTCAGCAACAGTGACCGCCTGCTGGAGTACGCCTCATCCTCACCCACCAAGGACCATGCAGTTCTGTTAAAGGAGCAGCACTAGACTAGGGCTAGAGGGTGCTTTCAAGTTAAACCGAAATATTCTGTGGATCACACACAAACAGGAGACCTCTGGTCACTGACAGATATTAAAACAAGTTTCTTTTACCGGTGACTTGGGAATCATTTCTTAAATACATTTTAAAAAATCTATTTATCTCACCTGTCATCAAAGGCAAGCTTCGTTCTCCGAGGCTTAGAATTATCAGGAATTGGTGTAGATGGACAATTAGAAGAGGTATTTGGAGCCTTTTCCTAACAACAACAACAAAAAAATATATATATATGTATATATATATTATGTTGAAAACTGTGACGAGATTTAAAATTAAGCTAACAGTATTTCCTCACCCACTGCTAAAATGAAAGCAAAATTCCACTGTCTTTGTTTTCTTTTTGAGACAGTCTTTTAACCGTCTTTCTTTTGAGACTATCTTTTGTTTTCTTTTTCTCATCATGTAGTTCAGGCTGGCCTTGAACTCAATGTAGCCCTCCCAGGCCTCCAACTTGTGATCCTCCTGCCTCAGCCTCCTAAGTGCTGGGATTACAGGCAGGTGCCATCCCAGCCAATTCCACTGTTTTTGGTATTAATTTCATTGTTATAAAACTTTAAAAAACTTTATAATGTAAACTTTTAACAAAATGGATTCATTTTATTATGTAACCAAAACATTCATTCTTGTATTTATTAAGAATTTACTATGAGTTAGGCACTGGGCTAGGTAGTTGTTGAAATATGACACACAGGGCCAGCGATTTAGCTCAGTGGTTCTGCCGCCTGCCTTACAAGCACAAGGTCCCGAGTTCAATTCCTGATACCAAAAAAAAAAAAAAAAAAAAAAAAAAAAA